GAATCTATAGGCAACATCAAGATCATTTGACGCAAAGCTGAGTTAATAGTAGGCACCTGCATCGGACTGTAGAGGCTCTTGCACAAGACCATCACGCACAAGCACACTGGTAAATTGGGTGACTAAAATGCGCTTCTTAGATGAGTGCTGTCAGAAAGCCGTTCCATGACAGGTCTGGTCACATTGTATACGAATTTCCTGCTACACCTGAAGATGACAAAAAGGCTCAAGACGCATGCGTGTCATTCTATTTTGCACATTGCAAGGGACGGTACCCCATGTGTCCAAACGAGAATGAGCAAAAGGAAGACAACATCGTCCGACTTCGAACCTGGCGCAGCTTGGAAAGAAATGATGCAGAGGAGTTTATGGAGCTAGTCCCTCCTATGGCGTCGTTGCGATCCCTCGAGGAACATAAAGTCATTCAAGAACAGTTGACAGAATTCTACGACTCAGTTGATTCCCTGTACCAGCCCCCTCCCTCCGCCGACATACCAGAAAAAGCAAAGTGGAAGGTTGAGATTACGCTCAAAAATGAGTTGGTTTGGAAGCTTCCTCTGGAGCATAGTTCAGGCAACGAGTTGGTTGGCATTGAATTGGTCAGTGCAGTCTGGCAACTTGATCAAAACTTGAAATGCCTGCTCAGTCCACACTTGATGCTGTCGATCGGAGTGTGAAGGGTGCGGAAGAGTTGCTACAAGTGATAGAGTCAATGCGACGTGCTTTGGAAGCTGCCGTCTCTCGGAAACTGAAAGATTTTGGGATCGTGTCAGAGCCTTTCAAGGCGATCAAGCGAATGCATGAAGAGCTCAATCAGTTGTTTCGACTTCACTTCGCGACCATTGCCGAGCAGAGTGTGTCTGCCACCCATGGACCTGGTTCGAAGGTCCTCGAAGTTGAACGGGCTACACACCCAACCGGTAAGGAGGCAATTTCTGTCGAACAAAAGGTCCCTGACAAAACCAACGACGATGATGATGAGACAAGCGAGCAAGGTGCTGCCACATCCCCAGGACCAGGAGACAACACGGACAAATCCGATGAGGAGACAAAGCTGTCCGAAATTGAAAAGCCCCTTGACGGTGATGAAGATGACATGTCCGAAGGCGAAAAGGCAACTGACACAAGTGTGCAAGGTGCTCCCACATCCTCAGGACCACAAGACAACACGAACAAATCCCTTGATGAGGCAAATCTGTCCGATGAAGATGACGGTGAGGAGAGCCCTTCTTTTCTTCTGCAGGAAGATGTATCTGTTACTGAGGAGCAGGCTACACATAAGGACGAGGAAAAAGAGGACGGACCCATCTTTCTTCCATTTTCTTCCTTCGATGAAGAAGCAGATGACACGTCGAGCACCGTTTTTACAGTGAAAAGAACTCACAGTATCCGTCTCGAGATCCAAGGCACTGCTGAAGCGGACCACTTCGAACCCTTTCTCCCCGAGGTGCAAAATCAGTTTTATGCGTGGATGCGGCAATGTGGTGAATACGTAGAGGGTCACTTCAACATTGGGGGGGTAACAAATCAGGACAATTGTGTTTTCGTGGTGTGTAAGCTTGAGTGTGACTGTCAAGAGGGTAACATGGCTACAAAATATGAAGTCACTACCAAATTAAATGACTTCGTTTCATCGAAAGCTTTCGATACTTTCATTGCCTCCGCTCTAAAAGATTTGGTCATCGGTCATCACCGTGCCCAAGGACCCACAAAGGAACACGGCGACGATGGGGGCAAGCAGGCTTTCTCGGGTACGCCAAGCGAAGACAGTGACAGTTCTGGCGGCAGTTCCGAAGAAGAAGAAGAAGAAAGTTGTGCAGGCAGCCAAGACAACAGTTCTGGCAGTTCCGAAGAAGAAAGTTTTGCGACGAAAGAAGAAGAAAGTCTTGCGGAAGAAGAACAAAGTCGTGACAACAGCCATCCCATCAATGGATCATCAGAGGCGGCAGCCACCGGAAGTGAAGAGCCCCTAGCTGCAGTGCAAGCACATCAAGCGAATGAAGGGAACACAGCCAAATCGCATCACTCTCAGTAGCGCCAGCTGATGACGAAAGTCTTGCGGAAGAAGAACAAAGTCGTGACAACAGCATCCCATCAATGGATCATCAGAGGGGCAGCCACCGGAAGTGAAGAGCCCTAGCTGCAGTGCAAGCACATCAAGCGAATGAAGGGAACACAGCACTCTCAGTAGCGCCAGCTGATGAGAAAGTCTTGCGGAAGAAAACAAAGTCGTGACAACAGCATCCCATCAATGGATCATCAGAGGGGCAGCCACCGGAAGTGAAGAGCCCTAGCTGCAGTGCAAGCACATCAAGCGAATGAAGGGAACACAGCACTCTCAGTAGCGCCAGCTGATGACGAAAGTCTTGCGGAAGAAGAACAAAGTCGTGACAACAGTCATCCCATCAATGGATCATAGAGGCGGCAGCCACCGGAAGTGAAGAGCCCCTAGCTGCAGTGCAAGCACATCAAGCGAATGAAGGGAACACAGCACTCTCAGTAGCGCCAGCTGATGACAATAATACCATTGCCGATCCCATGGACGACCACTTTCTTCAGACGCTTTCGAGGAACGATATAGATGATATAGATGAGGATCATGACCGGATGGATGACCAGCTCCTTAATGTGATGCTTGGAGGAGACCCCCTTAATCTGATGGTGGGAGGAGACCAAGAGGAGACATTGGAAGAACCAGACCATAATGAAACATTGGAGGAAGAACCGGTGGAAGGACGAGACCATAATGAAACATTGGAAGAACCGGTGGAAGGACAAGACCAACGGCCCATGCTCTTGGCAATGTTTGCAGATGTGGCTACTTCAGTTAGTCATGCCAAAAGCATTGGATTGGAGCGTCCGTTGAATGTCGAAAGCACTGGACGGGAGTGGGAGAGTCTGTTGAATGTCGCAAACACTGAATTGGGGCCTCTGTTGAACCAAGAAGCGGAACACCAACCGGAAGTCCTCCTCCTACCGGAACACCAACCGGCATTCCCCCGGGTGCATAGTCAACCACCTACTACAAGTGTTAGAGCCCAACACCAACCGGAAGTCCTACAGGAACACCAACCGGAGCCTCTGTTGAACCAGCCTACAAGTGTTAGAGCCCAAGAAGCGGAACACCAACCGGAAGTCCTACAGGAACACCAACCGGAGCCTCTGTTGAACCAGTTAAATGTTAGAGCCCAAGAATCGGAACACCAACAGGAAGTCCTACAGGAACACCAACCGGAACACCAACCGGAATTGCCCCGGGTGCATAGTCAACCAGTGGGAGAGGCTGGGCGTCCCGATCCTGACGGAGATGTCGATTGCATGTCCGTTCCTGACAGAGATACTGGGGGTGAAGACAGAGATACTGGGGGTGAAGATGCCAGGTCCCTTGCTGACATGGAAGATGCAAAAAAGGATGCTGTTGTAATCTTAGTAGTCGAGAGTGGCAGCGATGACAGCGATGATGGCGTCGACGCGAGAAAGGTGCCTCTCTATCCTCTCCATCCTCCCTCGCAGCTTAGTGACATTGATTTGAAAAGAGTTTTGGCAGCGTTGAAGGAAGCATGCAGAACATCTCAGACACCCTTCGCCAAGATTAGAACGGAATGCATTACGGTCCGGTCCTTCAAGACCCTCGATGACAGGCTATATATTGATGACGCAGTTTTGTCTGGGTTTCAAGAGATCATGTTTGATGGGGAAGATGCAAGTGCATGTTTCCGCTCTCAGTTTTTTGAGAGGTGCACCAGTTCCTATTGTGATCGGTTAATCTTGAACTATGGCGGAGTTTGCAATTGGGCCAAGAGCAAAAGTGACCTTTTCCAGCTGGACACATTGTTTTTCCCCGCCAATGTTTCAAGCGCCGTGGCCGACAAACTAGAAGATGAAACCGATGGTAAACGCAAAAAGGAAAAGAATCATTGGATAGCGATCGTTGCATTTCCAAAAGAAAAACGAATCCAAGTATACGATCCCCTACAAGAGAAGGAATATGTCGATCATCTGCTTATTGTCTATGGGTACCTCTCCCACGAAAGCGCTATGCGGCAGGACAAAGCTCTTAAATTTGAAGAGTGGACTCTCACACCCGGGACTGAATCAAAATGGGAGCTCCCAGTGACATGGGAGTTTGAAGGAAGTGCTAGTGTGGAAGCTCCCAAACAAACCAATGGTTGTGACTGCGGTGCATTTGTCCTTGCCTTCATGTATTCTCTGATTCGCAAGGAAAAGCCTAGCTTTACTCCAGACGACATGACCAATTACCGGCGTTGGGTGGCTCAAACCATCATGAAGTACAAGGTACCAGAAGGTACCCGTTGGTAGCTGCAGCCTCATTCCCACTGGCCCCTAAAAACATCTATAATATATATATATATATATATTGATATAAGAACATTTTTTATTCACATGCACAAGCGAAGCAGTAGCACTGGCTGTCATAAAAAGTTTAGTAGCACAAGATTACTACAAAAGACAAGCCTCTTTCTATGTGTAGGTAGGGAGCAGCTAGCAGTGCATAGAGCATGGTGGTGTTTTGTTGGATAGATTGATTCTGAAGGGTTACAGGTTACAGTTGTGACAGGATGTAGGTTTGCCTGTTTCAGCTTTGCTGTATTTGCAGAGTTTGGATTTTGGATCATCCTGAAATTACAAACAAGGCCACAAATTTGAAAACCAGCCATGGAAGAACCCTCTTTACATTGGAACACTAATCTTGGGGACGATGTAGACGACTATACCCCCGCAGAACAGGAATATGTTAAGCTTTGTGGTTATCTTGATGACCCATACGAAAAGATGCTGGAAATGTACTCGAATGCGCACGAGGCCATTGATGCTGAAGATTGTGATGCTCTCAACCGTGGCTACATTGCAGTTGTTCAGGCCAAGGAGCTCACCTCAGATGTTTTGCAACGGGGCATAACGCGGTATGGTCAGCTTGTCAAGACACGACTTGGCAGTAGACTCGGTTTTCAACTTCATTCCTTGCCACGCGAGAGTGGGCCACGGCCTGACCACCCAGCGGAGTCTCCTGGTCATCCAGCTGATCGCATTGCCTCGCTTCCGGATCATCAGCAGCAGGCTCTTGGTGTTGTTGGGGCTTATCTTAGGTATCTAAAGGAGTGCTGCCATGAGGTAGAGACATTTATTGATGGTCAGGCAATTCAACGTTACGGTACCAATGTTGTGGATACAACCTCACTGGCTCAGCATATGGAGGTGCAACTAGAGGAAATGGGTAGCGTGCGCGAAGATTTCTATGGAGACAGTAGTTGCTGAGTTTCAATTCTGTCTCCACGGGCCTCTCTCCATGGGTGTTGTTCAGTTGAAAACTTTACTGGCCTCAACCACCAGCTTGCTGAGGGCCTCAACCACCAGCTTGCTGAGGGCCTTTTGAACTAGTCTACGTCTTGTCTGCCTGTGTGCAGCCTGTGTGTAGGTAGTGTAAGGGAGTAGTAGTAGTAGTAGTAGTGTAAGGTAACATAAAGTGTAAGGTGGTAGTGTAAGGTAGTAGGTAAGGTAACATAAAAGTGTAAGGTAACATCAAAGTGTAAGGTAACATACAAGTGTGCAGTTGCCCTTGCAAGGTTAAGGCTAGCTATCAAATCAGAACCCTTTGCAACCTTGGCCTTTAGAACAATGTGCGTTGCTCGCCCATCCTTGCTAGCTAGCTAGCTAGCTAGCCTACCTTTGCCAGATCTTTGTTGGTTGCTATGCTGTGGATGCCATTTGCTTGGCTTTTAAGAAAATGCTGGTCGAGGGCACTTAGCTGTAGCTGTCCTTGGACAAAGTACTACTAGGTCATTAGTAGTAGTAGTACCAGTGACAGTTACCAGTGACAGTTTAGTAGATTCGATTCGATTCATAATTATTATTCTGAAGGGTTAGGTTGCTGTTTCAGCTTTGCTGTATTGCAGAGTTGGATTTTGGATCTTTTTCTGGCAGGGTCCTGTCACAAATTAGATTTGACGAACCCACAAGTCAACACTAGCTAGAGCAATAGTGTCTGAAGGGCATGGATCCACTCCAGCAACCGCCTTCGGGAACAAGGAAACGGAAGACATCACACATCAACCCAATGGATATGGGAGAGACTTGGGATGATGATGATGCCCCCTGGGAATCCGAGGCTCAAGGATACACAATAGAAGCAAGTGGCAGAAGTTTGGTGTTATCAAATAAGCAAGCTAATGAACTAAGTGAACAATACCGCTACTTTGGCGCTGCTTGGGGAAAGGGATCACATTTCAAGGAACGCGGAACAAAGAGACTAAAGTGGCAGGATGTCCCTTACAGCACATGTGCTCTTGTCGTCGCCTTTCTCCTCGAAGGAAAAATTATCCTCGACATTCTGATTGACTACCCGCCAACTGACAGCAAAAGCAAATCGGCCAACGAAGAAAGCAACGAATTGGAGCTGTCGACCTACACCAATTTCATGCAACTGTGTGACAAGATCAACGTTGTACCCTTTTTTTCCAACCCCAAGAACCCGCAAGAGAACTTGTGCCAGGACAAAGAGCAAATGTCGCTCTACCTGGAAACTTACGCCAATCTCAGAGCACACACAAGAGTCAGCAGGCTAATTATCAACAGCCCAGAGATCAACGCCCTGAGAAGAACGGATGGTTTTAATGATTCCTTCCCCATTCCAGACTTTTTGCTGACATCAGGAGCAATAACTGCAACCCCCTTTCTGGCCATTGGATCCCAACGCAATGATCGCCGGGGTAAGTTGACCATTATGTCCAGCGTGAGCATCAGCGCTCTTTTTCATCACTTTATATCTATAGTTGATGACCTCGGCCACGTGGGCCTGACTCGGGTGCACAGCCACGAATCCGCATCTTGGCATGCGTCACACGAGGAACGTGGGGGTGGATACGCTAACAAATAGCTGGTCGGGACGGTGGCAGGCTTTCGGTGCTGCAGCGGTCAAGTTTTGAACGATTAAAATGGCACGGAAGGTTGGAACAGTCGGCCATTGCCGAAACCGTGCTTGAACTGATAAAGGAACGCACAGTGCAATACCGTGATGATGGAAACTATCCCACCGGAGGCTCAAATAACTGCAAACTTCGCATTACCAAACCAAACGCAGACGTCCTGGAGTCGCTGGCTTCAGGAATGACAGAATTTTGCGGCACAGACACTCCTCTCTTGTGGGACCCCAGTAAGCCCTCTTTCTCTGTCTTTGCTCCTCTAGCCAAGGTGAAGGGGATCCTGAATTGCATATCGAACGCCCGGACTACACCAGTATATGGTAACATGAAGATTAATCAGGTCACGCTTTGGTAACATGGAGAGTTCACGCTTTGACATGAAAAAGGCAACTAGCACACTCACTACCTACCAAAGAATTGAATTTTTACATCTAGGCACATAGCTACAGAGTACTACTGTAGTACTGTAGTGTACGGTAGTACTGTAACTGTATGTATGTACTATTAATACTCTCCCCAAGAAAGTTTCCATTAAGTCTCTGATTCAGGGGGGGGGGCAGTTTTTAGTTTTTTAATATAAAAAAGAGAAAACAGAAACAAAAACACAATATCAAGACCCCAGTGGAGAAAACAATGTCAAGGGTAAGACTCTGCCTCTCTCCCCAGTTTGCAACCCCCCCCTTTGCCAAACTCTAACACCCCCAAAAACAACTTTGATGTCATGCCATCCAGCAAGATAGATGTAGAAGAATTTTTTCATTCTGTCTACGGCAATGAAGTCAGGACTGCCCAGATATTGAATGGATGGGATAGCCTCCCAGAGAATCGAAGGCGGACGGTCCACATCAACAGCAATGCGGCAGAGGCAGCTGAAGTGCACCCTATCCCAATTGACTCGTCTCAAAAGTTCCCGGATTGTCTCCGTGAGCCGAAGGCATTTCGACATATTGCACTGCATTATAGGGAAGCCCACAAATTCCCCAAACTACAGACAGCTTTTGATATTGACTCCTTCTATTTCTTCAACAGAAGCATATCCACCCTAGTCAAAGCTTTGGGGGACAACCAGTTCGAGATGCCCTCAGTAACTAAGCAGTGGTCCGCAGACCAGGGCTCACGATTCTCCGTGAACTCTAGTCTGTGCAGTGACCCAGCATTTGTGAGAGGAGACAGGGCCAATACGGTGCCACTAAACTGGTTCCCTAATGTGAATATTGGCCGGGTGATATTGGAAAAGATGAACTGCATGGCTCATATTCACGTATACAGCCTCGGTGTACGAGGGTTCACCATGAATGGTCACTTCGACACATACCAGATGGCGGTTTTGAATGCCGCATTTAACATTGCAAGGAAGAATTTGAATGAAACTGAAGATTGGTTGGTGCGAAGGGACATGTCCCGTTTCCATGATTTATGGACCCCAACAGGCCCTGGCTCGAGGGAAAAAAACACAAGTCGGAGACCAATGTTTTAAGCAGCCGATCAATGTCAAAACTGGCCGAACAATTCGAAGCTGTCCTGCCAGAGATTGCCAGAGGAGAGGGAGACACCGATTTCACCAGCCCCAAAGTATGCGGAGTGCACAACGAAAAACAATCTGAGATTGGGAAGGATTCATTTCGTGCAGGGATGGTCAAGGCTGCAAAGAATCTAAACGACAACATCATGTTCACTGTGTCGGTAGCAGGGTGCAAGGGGTCTTTCAACAAAAAAAGTTCATGGAGGAAACAGACCTTGGTCTTACCGGCACCAGGGGGTTTTGGAACGAAATGTCCGAACAAGATGATGCCACGATTAGGCTCGAGGAGACCAACGATTTCTTTATCGAAACGCAGTATGACTACGACAGCAACCCCCCTCCTCTGAGTAGTATTACAGGCGCCGAGGAAAAGTATATATCGTTTGTTGAAAAGAAGATCAACCAAGCCATTTCTAAAGCATGGGACGATGCAATCGATTTATGGAAAGAGGAACTTCGGGAGGTTCTCAAGCCAGAACCTAGTCGGCGAAGGGAGGTTATACCAGTGTATTTTGATGGTGGGCTTGAAGTCGGCTTCGATGACCCAAACTTAAATGTTCTACCCTGGATGGAAAAAACCGAAAAAATACTCAAGTCATGGTGTAGTGAGAAGTGTGTCCATGGACTGGCAAAAAATCAGAGGGTCTTTTGTACAAGAAACCAGCCTAACCTTTTTGTGCCTGCTTTTCTTCCCGTCCGTCGTCCAAAAATCAGTCGGTCAGCTGAAGAGGTTGATCGCAGACTTAACCGGGGGGATCCATTCGGTAGCTTTACCAGAGAGCACCTGATGAGACTAAGGGAGCGAAATGTGGATCAAAACCGAAACTCGGACGAAGACTCCAATAACGAAACTGAACCCGAAGTGGACAACGCAATGGAGAGAGAAATTATTGACGCCAGTACCAGGCACTTGCTAGATGGCGGAGACAATGAGCTCGAATTCATTCTGGAAAGTTCCGGGCGTGAAGAGGAGGACCCCTGGCTCCCAGACTTGAAATTTTCGAAGTGGCCACAGTTAAATACTGTGAAGGCAATAGGTGGAACTCACAGCGGCAAGATCCCTCTCTGTTTGATGGAATCAGAGACAGGAGAGGGAGAGACAAAAAGGACACTGGCGGATCCTAATGTCAGGAACAAGGTTTCAGGTGGTCAAATTTATATCCCCATGACGAAAAGGATATTCCAATTTGGGGATGCTCTGGACAATTCTGAAATTGAAGCACTCCCGGCAAGGGTGTATACACTACTCAACCACAAAGGTACGCTCGCTCCCAAAAGGGGCGAAGAAATCACCAACATGGTGATCGACACAGTGAGAAAGTTGCGGCAACGGATCAAAAACACGAGGTCCGAAATCCTTGCAAACCACAAAAAGAACATAATTCGCTTTGAGATTTTCTTCCCGACAGATACAGAGGGCAAAATGGAATACTTGGAAGACCGTGACGACTACGCTTCTTCATTTGTGGTATCTAATTGCGGCCAACTCATGACGCAATTTGCCGACAGTTTGGAAGAGTTCATCACACCAGTCTATTCAGTTTTCGGAGACAAGCAATCCATCGACCGTTGCATGGGCCTCTCATCCCCAGCAAAGGGTCTGCTGTTGATTTGCACTGAGAGGGCTGTCGAGCTATGTGGGAGTGATCCAGCATTCAAAGGAAGGTTGACCACGAAAATAACTGAGAATAGTGACCTGGCCGGAAAGTCATGGCACATATGCCGAAATCTCCTTCAAGAAATCTCCGGCAGGGAAAAAGACTTCATAGGAGGAACTCCTTTCGGCCTGTCAACTGATTTAATGATTGCGGAAAGCACAGAAGAACAAATGGAACAGGAGGGAAGAAGTCAACGCCCCAAGAAACTCCCAGTTCATGTGCAAGTCTTCCAGAGGCTTGCAGATATGGGTGTGGACCACATAGTTTTTTTCATGCGCCGAATGCTCGACATCAATTGTGCACTTTTCCGGGCCACCGACATCTGCATGCGAAACAAGAAATATCTTGACTACTATCGTGACCACAACCGCGAAGACCCAAATACAGAGGATCCCCCCGAATACGTCCCTCCGAAGAGGGACATATTCTTGAAGCCTAACTTTGCCTTAATCGCCAAGCTCAGTGACATGGACTCCCTGGGGGAGGTCGTGACGTCAATGTGCCAGATCATCTACGATGCATATTACCACGAATCATCTTGCCTCATACGAGACGAGATTAGGAAGTACTTTGCAGCATTCAACAAGAAAAACCGTGCACATAAGGTGAACCCCTGGCTCCCGCCACTGTCTGACTTCCCAAAAACGGACAAGCAGCTGAACAAGTTCTGCCGGGATGTCAGTGAAAAATCGGTTGGTGGAGTGAAGATGGAAACAGCAAAAGGGACCTGGAAGCAAAAGCAGAAGGTGACGGACGGGGAGAGTTTTGAGTCACTCATATGCTGCACAATGTCAGACAATCAAAGCCTTGCACCTGCATGGGAGAGAAGCGTGACTCGGAATCTCATACGATACTGCCTGACCATTCTGGACAAAACGAAGGCCAATCTAACCGATGACAACGGCAACGAAATCAACGAAGACCTCGATGAAGTAGATTTTGGTTCGGAAGAAGCTCAGCGCGAGGGTCTGATGAACGCGTACACAACACCGCAGCAGCTGCTTTCATCAAAGAGTTTCCGAAGCCATCTGATGCAGACCTTCATTGATGAGGCAAAAAAGGCCCACGAGGAATCGAAGCCACTTATCTATTACGCAACGCAATCAAAGCGCTACCAACGTCCCACCCCACTCAAGGACGCAACCTTGACATTCAAAATTGAGGCCGTGGAGCTGGACGTAAGGAACCCAGAGGCACAAACCAGGAATCCGGGAAGGAAACGGAAACGAGAAGCACCCCCCAAACCCCAGGCACCCCAGGCGATCGAACCAATATTCCCCTACGAAAAGAACAAACAAAGTCCAGCAACGACGGCCGAGATCAACCAACTGTTTACTTTTGCAGGAAGGCTGAACTACAGAACTGTGCTGATCATTCGATGTTTAGTTTTCGTTGCAATGAATGTAGAGATTGCTGCAGAGCCAGGAGCATGGATGCAATACGTTCACATGTGCCAACTTACAAATGCCACCAGACTCCACGAATTATTCAAAACAAAGGATGCCATGCGGCGGGCAGTAAAGGCTGCATTCGATAAATGCGAGTTCAAAAAACACCTTTCGTACAGGGAGTGGTATCATAGTGTTTGCAAACCATTTGGGATCTCCGACCCCCTAGATAACACTAATAATACAAGCGAACCCAAGGCAAATGCAGCAGGGGGGAAAGGGAGCAACACCCCTTTGGGCCCGCTGCTCAGGGCTGCAATGTACAATGCAAACTTTTGGGTTTGGGACAGACAAAGTGGACCACAGTTCAAGACATTGTCGCAGTACGACGAAGAGGACAAGAGGAAAGTCTACGTATCCCGAAACACACAGGGGATGACTTTCAAGACACTACTCGACACACACGCCTCTTTGGGCCTAATAACACCAGGCATGACAGACGGTCTGAAGGAGCTTACTATTCGCGCCTGGGAAAACCCCAATGCAGAAGCAAGTGGGCAAACTGAATCACTGTCACCTACTAGGGGCGACAGGGGTGTGGGCATGGCTGCTGTGGTGACACCTGGGGCGGCGGGCAGTGGAGCAAGCCCCCATTGGCTTGACCAGCAATCCCAAGCAGACTACGTGTAAGAAAACAAACTATTTTTCAAGTTGCCCTCAACTACCAGCTAGCAAGCTGAGGGCCTTTTGAACTTTATCTTGCTAGCTGAGGGCCTTTTGAACTTTATTGCCCTCAACTACCAGCTAGCAAGCTGAGGGCCTTCCACTTCCCTCCCCAATTCGGATCATGGCTAGAAACAGGATTGGCAAGGGGACACCAAGGCCACCAGCTCATCTATTTGAATCTAATTTGGGCCATGAAATAGGCATGGCTGGCGCTCCACACTATAACATTTAATTGATATAAAATTTGCTAGCATCCACCAGCCTCTGCTAGCTAGCTCGCAATTGTACTGTCTGAAGCATAAATTCCAAAGAGACAGCGCCCACAAATCAAGAAGACATAGACATCTATGTAATATATTGTCTCCCCACATAGTCGTCTCCCAACATATTGTCGTCTCCCAACAATATTGACTCACAACAATAACAATTTATTTTGTTAGCTGACTCCTAAATTACTTGGTGGTTTTAGTTAGGCAGGTTTTACCAGCGCAGCCAGCGCGAAATAAAGATCAGATAATTATATTATTTATTTTACTCCAATATTATAATGAAAATGCACATGATGCACACAGCTACTGAAGTCGGCTACAAGAAGGCAAAGTTATCGCCCCCACTTGACGCACTTCAGCTGCTTGACCAGAAAGACATCTGGATAGAAGGCATCTTCCCATACCTCGGGATGGGCCACTATGCTTTTGTGGGTGGAGTAAACAAAAGAGTGCGAGATTTATACAAGGCATTCTGTGCATCTGTGCCAGAGGACAACAGAACAAAGGTGCTTGAGTGGAATTCTAGAGAGAGGAAGTGGGAGAAAACACCAACAACGGCAACCAACACCCACCACACTATCACATTCAGCAATATCACCTTGGCTGAATTTTGGTACCTGGACAACACAATTCACAAACTTCCCACCCGTGACAAGGTTTTTCCGACTGTAGCAAAGCAGGGTAACATTGCGGTTTTAATCTGGTCGGATCGGAAAGGATACCCAAGGGACAAATTGTCTTGCGAACATGCTAGCATTGCAGGTCACCTGGAAGCAGTGAAATGGCTACATTGGTCTGGATGCCCTTGGGACAAAACAACGTGCGCCCTAGCTGCTGGACACGGCAACCTAGACATTCTCGCATTTGCCCACAAGCACGGCTGCGAATGGGATGAAGGGACTTGTTCCGCGGCCGCCAAAGGGGGACATTTGAAGACTTTGAAGTATGCACACGACCATGGCTGCCCATGGAATGCGAATACATGCCACCAAGCTGCCATGAATGGGAACTTGGATGTAATGAAATACGCCCATGAAAACGGTTGCCCCTGGGACAGGAGCACATGCAGACTGGCTGCAAAAGCAGGACATTTGAACACACTGAAATACATCCACGAACACGGGTGCCCATGGTCCCCATCAACATGTTCCTCTGCCGCTGTAGGTGGTTTTATGGATGTACTGATATATGCCACAGAGAACGGATGTAGAGTAGACAAAGGCACCACCCTAGCGGCCGCCAAGATGGGAAGGCTGGACATTGTCAAGTACGCCAACGCAAAAGGATGCCAGTGGCACAGAATGACATGCCTGGCTGCAGTCAAAGTGGGTCGTCTTGACATCCTGAAATTTGCACACGAGAATGGCGCTGAATGGGACGAAAACATTTGTTATGCATCCGCCGAAACCGGGCGGGTGGACATGCTGAAGTATGCTCATGAGAATGGATGTCCGTGGCACCAAGACACCTGTTGGATTGCTAGCAGAAAGGGACACTTGGACATTGTCCGATATGCTCACGAGAACGGCTGTCACGAGAACGGACACCAATGGGATGAATTGATATGCTACACTTCCGCCGAACACGGCCGGCTGGATATCTTGAAATATGCGCACCAAAATGGGTGTCCCTGGCATAAAGAGACCACTTGGATCGCTACTTTCCAAGCCCGATTGGACATTGTGCAGTACGCACACGAAAACGGATGTCCGTGGAGCGACTATGTGTGCAGCACCGCAGCAGCAATGGGCAGCCTTGAAATATTGAAGTATGCACACACAAATGGGTGTGAATGGGATGAACTCACGTGTATTCTTGCTGCGGCCAAAGGCAAACTTGAGTGTCTTCAATATGCATACTGCAACGGCTGTCCTTGGGGTGCTGCAGCTTTGGACTGGGCATCTAAGGGGAGCCACAAGGACATTGCTCGCTGGGCCAAATCTCATCCCAGCTTACATAGACAAATGAAGTAATATATTTAGTAGTAACTAGTAACTAGGGTAACCACAGATGAAAACGCCATGCTAGCTAGGTAGCAGCACATCCAGAGCTTGCTAGTTCCAAAATAGACCTAGAGGTATTACCTCTACTACTATGTGTACCTGTACTTTTAAGCAAATCACCAACAAACACACCATGCTACCTAGATAGCAGAACAACCATAGCTCTACTATGGAGCTCCAAGACCCAGAGCAAATCACAGATGAACATGCCATGCTACTCCAGCTAGCTACAGAACAACCATACTGTAGCTAGCTAGAGGGAGCTCCAACACCCAGCCTCATACTTCCCTAACCCTACTAGTAAGCAGATCACAGCTGCTATGGTGAGCTAGATAAGCTGCTAGATAGCAGACCAAAAGTTGTTTGTTCACCCGGTTTTTTAGAAGTTTTTCTTAAGCCCAAGTTTTCTGCGGGACTGAACTTTGACGAGTTTGCGACCTTGTGCAACTGTCCTGCAACTTTTTGTTTCATGAGAAGCACACGCCTGCAAGCACACGCCTGCAGCACGCGCCTGCAGCACCAATCAGCGTCTGATCACTTGCCCAGAGAGAGTGAACCAGCCAGATAGAGTCTACTGGGCAAAAAAAAAGGTTGTCATAAATTTTGCAGGGCCACAAAAAAAAATCAACACCAGGACAGAATCGAATCATACGATTTTAGCACAAAAAAGAGTGACTGGATTTTAAAAGTAAACTTTACTGGAACAGGTCAGCACCAGTCACCAGTCACCAACTGCCTAAAAACACAGGCTTTTGGCCTCTGACAGAATGGCTGCGGTTGTAGAACATCTTTATACGGCTGACTCCTCTGAAGAAGAAGAAGAAGAAGAAGAGTTCCCCATTGAACCATCCAACGAGGCAGTGCTCGAATCACTGTTATACGACAGAGAAAGCCATAACCTTGTCCTGGTGGGATGTGACGGTGGCAAAGTAACTGCACACCGTCATGTACTTGCTGCGCGCTGCCCAGGCTTCAGTCGAAGCCTTGAAAGCAACCCCGATGGCTTCACCACACAGAAAATTGAGGAGTACCCCGCAAGTGTTTTGCAGGTAGTGGTAGATTACGTGTACACCGGGAAATTGAAGGAACAGGAACCAACAGAAGACAATGGCCCTCTCAAATGGGGCAACCAAAGGATTCAACTCTTGAACTCATCCCATTTTTTTGGACTAAAACGCATGAGAGATGAGGTGATGGTACAACTAACCCCCAAAACAGCTCTTCTAATGCCAGAGGTCGCTTCTTCTGGCAGTCGTACCAACGGCACGGCATCCAAAATCAAGGAATTGTCCTATCTTCAATTGCAAAACTTGCCGGACGAAACCATGGCCGAAGCAATGCCGAAAGGAGTGCTGAATGCGCTCAGCACCCCTGTTTTGACGGAGATTATGGAGAACGAATGTCTAGAAGCAACGCGCCGCTTTGAAATTTTGTCTGTATGGCAAGGGGCACGTAGGGATGCTGGCGACCCTGACCTTAAGGAAACATGCCGTGATCTGGCCAAGAGTATCCCGCTCCACAAGATCCCGCCAACCATTTTAGCAACGAAGGTGAAAAACTCTGGATTTATCCCAAGGGACTGGGTCTTTAAAGCATTGGAAAAGCAGGCTCTGAACGCTGAGACGGCGTGTGGTTTCCCCTTCTTCTCCAGTCCTAAGAAGAAAAAGAGAATCAAACTGGACACAGGAACTTGTGAGCGTTCGATGCCTGGGCTGGACGCCTGATCAAGAGGAGTGCATTGGCAGAGGAGGCTTTTTTTGGCGGGGTTACACCCTCTCCAATCATTAGGAAAAAGGAAGAAAAGAAATTCAAGGTGGACTCAGGAACTGAAGAGTGTTGTTTGAACGGCTCTGCAAAGATCGAGGAACGCATGTCACTGGAAACGGGAGCCCCAAAAGAGCTCTCTTCAGTAATATAATAATATTATATATAAAAGACAACCCCAAAATGTCTTCCCTCCTGGCTCAGGGTCATCGTTTATTTTAAAGAAAGATGGATATAACAACTAACAATGACTTCACGGTATTCAAATTCCTCCCAGTCTAACGAATGAATCTCCATCGAATCTTCAATACCGGTAAGCACTCGCCATGAAAATCAGGGACTAGAAAGACTTAGAGAGAGATAGCATATTTTTGCTATTTCCACACAATTCTAACTATCTAGAACCGATCTATTTGATCTCCAGCACATATTTAATATATTACATTTCATATTTTATATATTACATTTGGTACCGCCTAGATAGGTCACCGGTAAGCACTCGCCATGAAAATCAGGGACTAGAAAGATTGTAGCGCTCTGAGATCATTTTTACTTGTGGCAGTTATTAATAGCTAGCCAATCGCACGATTCTGTATTTGTATCTTTCCGACTCGGTAGATTGGATCAACTGGGCGTGACCCCAGAGGACAGCAACACACACCATCATGTCGGAGGATCTGCCTGGTACTGACGCGGTCCCATCTGTGGGCACCGCACATGCCGACGATGCTGCAGCCGCAACTAATCGCAATGGAAAGAGTGCACAACGACCCAACAACAACAACTACAACAACAACCTGGTCCATCTCCAGGCCGAGGAGGAACAAAGCACATTGATGCTGCGGACTATGCTGGAGCGGAAAGACCTCCATGACACAAAGATGACAGGATCTGATGGGGCCACCGTCACGGCGAACCTATGCGTCATGGTCGATGGATCCGACTGGTTCTGCAAGGAGTCGAAGATAGACAGCACCAAGAAGGACTTCACATTCGGGGACTACCAATCGACTGTTTTGAAGAATGTGGTGAGAATGGTGTATTTGGGAGATTGCATTCTGCCCCCACCGGACTATGACGAAGGAACCACCCAGGAGGGGACGATGAAGTGGTGCGAGGAAGCGGTATCAACATGCAAAGCGTACGAGTTCTTTGGAATCCACAATATCAATGTAGGAAACCATATTGACTCTACTGTAAGGGAAATCCTGCATGACACCCCTCACCTGGCGCCCACTCTGTTGGATACATGCCACCGTCATGCCCGTCCCCCGGCAGAATTTGAGGAGGAAGACGAACCTATCCTGCAAGTTCGCGTGTGGGACATGGTGCTCGAATGTGTGACAAAAGAGAAAATCGATATTGTTTTTTGCTCGGATGGAGGATGCTTCCAAGGCCTGAGTCGAGTAGTCATGGAGAAGCTGGTCTCCAACCAAGATATAGACGCGTATTATCGATTCAAACTATTGAAAGCCTGGGACGATGCCAACAACAGGGACGGAAGTCTGTCAAGAGAAATTCGGGAGATGGCGAAGGGAATTCCCATTGACCAGATCAATCCATCACTCGTCCAAAGCGATGTCCAACCAAGCGGATACTACTCAGATAATCAAATGTTAGAGGCTTGGAAGGAACTAGCTCTCATCTGGTCTAGGAAGCGAAGGAGGAAGTATTCACAGAGACAAGGAGTTGGCGTTCCCCTTTTCTGCTGGGGCAAAAGAGATTTGAGCAAGCTGGGGGACTGGGCTGCCTACGGCATCATTCTTTTGGATTTGCAATGTGACCAGCGACAGCAAAACCAGAACAATGACCAGCAAAAGACACACAAAAGCAACCATTTCGATTCTTCATGTATAATCTTCATGGTACCGGTACCCCGGAGAACACCTAGCTAGTAATAATAATAATAATAGCACAGCTTATAGCACAGCTTAATCATAACAGCAGTAGCACTGTAGCACCAATACCTTAGCACAACAACACTGTGCATAAAATACTGGTACTGGTACCCAGTACACATACCTGGTAGTGTAGTACCTGGTACTGGCCAGAGGGACCCTATTGACAAAAATATAGACAACCTACTGGTACCACTTTTTATAAAACACCAGTACCAGGTACTGGGGTGTGTAGTACTACTGGGTGTGTAGTACTGGGTACCACTTTTTATAATAAAACACCAGTGTAGTGTACCAGGTACTGGGTGTGTAGTACTGGGTGTGTAGGGATCACAGATTACAAGAGGGGGGATTTAATCTACAAAGGGGTCGGGGTGGGGGGAAATCAGCAACCGTATTTTTTTAACCATTTGAAACCACCAAGCAAAGTCCCACAAACCTGCTTACATAAAAATGGAAGACATCCCGGACGAGGAAGCAGCGTGGTACCAGAAGGCACGTGCAGTGTTGGAACGAAAGGCCAGCTCAGGAGACCATTCGGCAATGGTGCTTCTAGGAGAGAAACACCTGAAAGGGAGAGATGGAATCGCGAAGGACAGGAAGGAAGCCACTAGGTGGTTCGAGAAGGCCAGCAAAAAAGGCAACATCATCGGGACAGCGCATTTGGCCCGTTGCTACCTTGCAGGATACGCCGGAGAAGAGCTCGAGCCAGACGGCCTTGTCCTTGCTGCAACTTCAGCAAGCCAAGGCTCCAAGTACGGTGCATACATTCTAGGAAAGGCATATGCAAAAGGTAAGTACGGTTTGAGAAAGAATAAAGAGACAGCTATCCACTGTCTGGAGAAGTCTACAGATGACAATACCCCTGGCCCCGACCAACTAGTCATCTCGGCAAGGGAGGAAGTCACAGATTTACTGGCCGAACTCAAAGGCTGCTCTAGCCAGCTCCAGCCACGAGCTAGCTAGACTCAGTCCAAAGACAAGTACTTGCTAGTACTATGACATAGTAGTAGTAGTACTGTACTATGACATAAATTTGAGATAGCCCAGCAAGCTAGCTACTGGTAGTGTAGCATTGTAGTAGTGTAGTAGGTAGTAGTATGTTTTTCAGCCAATCATGTCTCACGAACACAGTAAAACAGCAGAGATGCAGACTAAAACAGCATGGTGCCTTACCTACCAGCTAGACTAGCAACAAAAAAGAAACACTCACCCACCAAGGGGCGTGTATATTTGTATGACACAGTCTTAGCCGGCTTGTATCTTTTGCCCAAACCCGCATCTAGGCATCGGCATTCCCTGAAGATCAACAAAGCTCGCCACAATCTGGCTTTTTCACTGCTCACAATTTTTCTAATAAGGTCTTGCTTTTTTTCTCTGGCCATGTCTTCTGACAGCGCTGCAACTAGTTTTGGTAGCACCCCTGCTGCCACCAGCCAAACCAACAACAACAACACAACAACAAGAAGCAGAAGTTGTCTTCTACCTTGGATCCTCTTCTCTATGCGGACGACTTGATTTGGAGGGGCCCGATTCTATCTTTGTTGGTGTTGACAGCACCCTTTGTAGAGCTGTCAACAAGAGGTTCAATAAGCTGTACAAAGACTACTGTGCAGAAGAACTCAATCAAAATCCAAGGAAGGTAAAGTGTTACACGGAGGATTATTATTCGGAGGACAGTCGCCCTGCAGAAATCACGGACACTCTTTGCAGCGAAATATTCTGCAATGTGCCACGTGCAGAGTACTGGTATCAGGACAATTCCCGCAACAAAAAACCCCATCGGGATCATGTTTGCACTGCCATTGCAAAAACTGGAATCTTGATGTCATGAAATGGGCACAACAAAAAGAATTCCCATGGAACGAGGGGACGTGTGCTGAAGCTGCTGAAGATGGACATTTGGAATTGCTCCAGTGGTTACGAGAGAATGGTTGTCCATGGAATTGGCAGACATGTCAGAGGGCTGCCCGAAATGGCCATTTGGGAGTGCTACAGTGGGCTCATGATAATAGATGTCCATGGAATGAAGAGACATGCCGGTCTGCTGCTGAATTTGGACATTTGGACCTGCTGAAGTGGTGTCGTGAAAATGGGTGCCCATGGAGTTCTAATACATGTGGGTCTGCTGCTGAATTTGGACATTTGGACGTGCTGAAGTGGGCTCGTGAGAATGCCTGTCCGTGGAATTCACATACATGTTTGAGTGCTGCCCAAAATGGTCATTTGGAGGTGCTCAAGTGGTGTCGTGAAAATGGTTGTCCATGGAATGCAAGGACATGTTTGGGTGCTGCTAGAGGATGCCACCTGGATGTGCTCCAGTGGGCTCATGCAAATGGATGTGCATGGGATGAGGGGGTAAGTCGCGTTGCGGCTGAAATTGAAAACCTGGAAATTTTCAAGTGGGCCTACGAGAATGGATGTCCCTGGGATCATTGAACATGCAGTTCTGCTGCTTACGGTGGCAATTTGGAAATCTTGAAGTTTGCTCATGAGAATGGTTGTCCATGGGATGCGCGGACATGTGCGACTGCTGCCGAACATGGTCATTTGGAAGTTTTGAAGTGGGCCCGCAAAAAGGGCTGCCCGTGGGACGAACGGACATGTTCCTATGCTGCTCGATGTGGATACTCGGACGTGATCGAGTGGGCACGTGGAAATGGTTGTCCATGGAACGAACATACATGTCACACGGCTGCCGAATTCGGTCACCTTCATACGCTCAAGTGGGCCCGTGCAAATGGTTGCCCGTGGAATTCACAGACATGCGCTAAGGCTGTCCGAAATGGCCATTTAGAAATTCTGAAGTGGTGTCGTGAAAATGGTTGTCCGTGGGGTGAAGGGACTTGTGCGAGTGCTGCTAAAGGGGGGCATTTGGAAATCCTAAAGTGGGCCCGTGAAAATGGTTGTCCATGGGACGACTGGACATGTCTGAGGGCTGCCCAACATGGCCATTTGGATGTGCTCAAGTGGGCTCATGCGAATGATTGTCAATGGGATGCTAGACAGGTATATCGATACGCAGAAGCCTGCACGTCTGGCAAAAAGGCTGAAGTGATCCACTGGTTACGCACCACTGGCGATGTCATACCTAGGGATCCCGAATCACCGTAATAATCACAGAACCAGTCATGGCAGTTTTTTAAAGCCTGAGCGAAAACCGTCGAACAGTCCAGACAGATATCTATTATCTATTTATTTGGCCGCTGGCTACGCCTAGATCAGAAAGGAAACCACACACGTGGCACGATTTTTTGAGTCCATGTTGGTCTCAAAACCCCAGTACCGTTTTCAGCGTTGCCACAAAACCCAAAGCACTGCCTTGCAAGTAGCCAATCGCCTTGTGCCTCTCTCTCCCAGCAACAATGTCCACCCACCGATTATTTTCGGACGGCATTCTTGCCCTAGCTGGAGCCAAGAACGAAAACGACACTGACACCGACGAATTCAAAAAGAATCATTTATTAGGGTACTAGTAGTAGGATGGTCTCCCCATGACGGTAGAAGTCACAAAACAAGGATGGATTGTGTCCGGGGTCAACTGCCCTCTATTAGTTTTGGTCTTGACCCGTCTTCCAAGTACAACTCAACAATTAGAAGATCACGATCAGACCATCACACTGAGTCATGTAGAACGTAGACTACGAGTAGTGGTGTACTGTGTAGCTAGCTGGCTAGCTACCTGGTACCAGGTAGGCTGAAACAAGCACACAAACCTCACAACCTCACAACATATTGATCAGCTCCCTGACGACCGACCAAACAACCAAACAGCCAAACAACCAAAACACCAGCAAGATGGAAGATGGCAATGTCATTGAACACATCCGGGAAAGCTGCACGCGGGACAATCCAAAAAAGAAGATTGTCGCGAATGCCTTTCTCGCAGCCGTGTCCCACCCAGGTCACTCTGCGTTTCGCTGCATGAAAGTGGCACTCGTCAAGTACATAACAGCAGACCTGGGAATCCCCCAGCACGAATACAAAATCAACGACTTGACTCCCCTCATCATTGGACTCTTTGACGATGATGAAGTCCCCCAATTCGACGAAAAGGATATGCGCAGTCGGGAAGCAGCCATGTTTCATTGTATTAAATCGAGGAAGGACATTTGCGGCGAAGATGCACCCAAGGAACTCACCGAGCGTTATGCGGCCATCGTGAAGAAACCTGGTGGTATCCCTCCTGCTGATTTGTCTCAGATGGTCGAAATGCTTGACCGCAATGATTACGTCGATGAAGAGCTGGCTTCATGGATTGTTGACACAGGCGACATCTCACCACTGCTGGGGGATGACCCAACCGGGTTCCCGCGCGCCCCCTTAGTGAAGGACCTAGGGGAATGGTTGAACACTTTCGGCATTACAACCACAGATTACGATGCACAATACGACACCACCTTGTGGAATCAACCTTTCATTGACATAGTCGATGAACGCTACGCCAAGATCATGAAGGACAACAACGCTTTGTCCCTCCTTGTAGAGAAGCGCAAATCAACCTACCAGCGAAATCTTTGGCCGAAGGAAGATATCTGCGCTCTCCCACCGGCATTTGGGGAACTGAAGCGGTTGATGGAAGAAAACAACGACCTGGAGAAACGCATCTTCCATAACCACAGTGACCTTGCTGAACACACGGTGCTCGCCAATGAGGGGATGTTCGCACAACGTATGATTGACATTTTCCCTGATAACTTGAAGGTTTACATGGAAATGCACAATTCCTACAAGAGGGGAATGGGAATGTTCGACTCCTACAAGAAGGCAAAGGGCGAGTAAATGGAAGAGTGGCGCTAATGAACTCGAGATATTTGGGCTCGGGAGACTTTTCGGACCATGCGATATGACCGCACCCACGGCATCTCTATATCAACTAATATTAGGAAAATCCAGGAAAAGGTAGCTGGCTTGTTAGTCGCTTTGTTACACCAGCTAGCTAGCTAGCTAGCCTGTAGTTGCCTTCACAGCAGTAACCTATGACTACGACTACGCAGACATTGCAGTAATTTTTATTACTTGGAACATCTGGATGGGTGGCCAACGAAAAGAGTTATAGGTAGTGGTAAACTGGCTGCAGCTGCAGCTGCACCCACACAATTGCAGCTAGTAAGTCTGCAGGCTGTTTATAAATCAACTTTTTGAGGAGACGTTAAAACTAAAACTGTTGCACAATACTGGGCCAATAGAATGGGAGGTCATTTTTCTGTCCATGGTCGGTTTCGGGTGGATCTTGCAGTTGGAGAAAACAAACTACTGATAGGGGATTATGCTACGCTAAAAGAGCTCGGTTGGAGCTACTACACTACGATGACGATGATGACAAGGTGGACTCTGACTCCTGTGAAATTCATCGGGACTCTTTTATTCAACTTTCGAAGTTGCTATTCAACTTTTAAGTTGCTTAGTATTAAGGTTAAATGATGTCTGACTTGGTTTTAAGAAAACGCCAGAGCAAGTGTGAGACGCTATCCAAATGTTTAGCGTGAGTCAATTAACTGTGATGGCTTCTGATAAAGAAACCAAGGAGCGTGAAGAAACCACAGAGCGTGGAGAAACCACGGAGCGTGATGGATTCTGATAAGAAACCACGGAGTGTGGAGAAACCACGGAGCATGATGACAAGTACGGGCCACGGCAAAGTTCCTCACAAGAAACTCTCTCACAATGCGTGAAGAAACCACAGAGCGTGGAGAAACCACGGAGCGTGATGGCTTCTGATAAGAAACCACGAAGCGCGGAGAAACCACGGAGCATGATGGCAAGTACGGGCCACGGCAAAGTTCCTCACAAGAAACTCTCTCACAATGCGTGAAGAAACCACAGAGCGTGGAGAAACCACGGAGCGTGATGGATTCTGATAAGAAACCACGGAGCGCGGAGAAACCGCGGAGCATGATGGCAAGAACAGACCACGGCAAAGTTCCTCACAAGAAGCTCTCTCACAAAGTCTCTCACAAAGTCTCTCACAAAGTCTCTCACAAAGTCTCTCCGAGTCTTCACCCACGAGTCTTCACCCACGAGTCTTCACCCACACCATCGACAAAACCATGATTCCCAAAACTACGTTTCCCTCCTTTTTGTCATCGCCTTGTTCTTTTCGCTTTTGACCACCGTCGTCGAAGGTCTTGATGTCAACATCCTTCCTGTAAGTGCGAACATAGGCCTCCCCCAAGTGTTCACCGTTCATCAGCGGACTGTTTTGGTTTCGTTGGTCGCAATGATAGCGAGGCATTACCAGGTCGATAGGACAACAGTCACCCTAATATTCGGTGGCCAGGCCGTCCAAGGTTTTCACCGTATGCGTGACATTCTCCGTATCGGATTCCAAGATGGGTACACCATGATTTTGGTCATTGGAAATCCAGCCGTTCAAGCCCTTCAAGCCATTCCACCACCCGCCCCCGCCCTCATTGCTGCCGCCCGACGAACACATGACATCAATTGGGGACGCATTGTAAACTACGTCTTGGCAACCCAAAGGTGGCTAATTTTTTGCCCAATGTCAATGAACGGAACTTCATGTTGACCGTGGCTTTGATTTTGACGGAAGGCATCCCTGGCATTGTCAACATCCGCGGCCTTCGTGGAGGAGACAATTTCGACGCCAATGTCATTCTCGCCATCATGTACTACTATCGTCAGAAGGGATGGCCGGTATTGCCTGAGGCCTTTGTTCAGAATGTTTACGCCCAGATTTAAACGCCACTCCATCGAATCCGCCATTGAACCACCTCATCACCTCATCGTTTATAACACTCATGGTACTATCTTTGTATGTTTAAGATAGATATAACAACTAACGATGACTTCACGCAAAACGGTATTCAAACCCCCCAGGCTAATGAATGAATGATCGAATACTCAATAATTCGGTACCGGTTGTAGTATCTTTGCACGATTTGAATCAAGCATGACTGAAACATGTGTGTTGAGTCAGCAGACTTGCAGGTTTATAATTGGCAAGATCCTGTGACAGCATTGGCTCTTGCTGCCAGCTTTATTTGCATGCTTTTCACTAACAGCATAATTTTGCTATTTCCACACAATTCTAAGGCTGGTCTCTACCCGAGCGACTGAGGGACCGACTAAAGGAATCCTTTAGGTGGTTGTTTAGTTCAAGATTTAGTCATTATCCTTTAGTAATGGTGGTGTCTACCAGCAGATGACTAAATCTCGGACTAAACAATTTACTAGTAGTCAGTTCTTTAGTCATTTGGACTTGTCTACCCAGCACTAAACAAATGACTAAACGGAACACTACTGGACTTAAAGGACTCAAACAAGATTTAACAAAAGTGATCACTTGGTGGGCTACCAATATTCTATCAGCATGGTGGATTTAAAAAGGACTCAAACAAAGACTTAAAAGAGAAGTGATTACTTTTTTGAGATAACAAGACTCAAAACACACCATTGCAATGCACCTCTCCTCTGTCATTCAATCGTTTGCACCTCTACTATCATTGGATGGTTCGATCGTTTGCACCTCTACTATCTTTGGATGGTTCGATCGTTTGCACCTCTACTATCTTTGGATGGTTCGATCGTTTGCACCTCTACTATCATTCATTGGACCGTTTGCACCTCTACTATCATTCGATCGTTCGATCGTTTGCATCTCTACTATCAATCATTCGATCGTTCCATCATTTGCACCTCTACAGTACTACTAATATCATTCATTCGATCATTTGCACCTCTACTATCATTCATTCGATCGGTTAGGGTTAGGGTTCTTTAGTCGCTCGGGTAGAGACTGGCCTAACTATCCAGAACTGATCTATTTGATCTCCAGCACATATTACATTTATTTGGTACCGCCTAGATAGGTCACCAGTAAGCACTCGCATGAAGCATGACTGAAACATGCGTGTTGGGTCAGCAGACTTGCAGGTTTATAATCGGGAAGATCCTGTGACCTGTGACAGCATTCACATCCAAAAATCCAACAGGAAACCCATGGCAACAAATCACTCGATTGAAGCGGTTGATCATGATCAGTGTCTTCATGAATTGTCAAACGGCGGCATGGGTACAAGTGGCTCAAAGAGTACTTAACGAAAGAAGAACTGCCACGCGACCTACTCATCAACGAAAGCGACTCCCGAGTGGACACACAATCTTTTTGGAGTTTATGGTGTGCCAAGGGTCGAGAGCTAATTCCATGGGGGAAAATGCTGACATATGCCAACTGGGGGAGTGGATGATGCAAATGCACCAGGCACACCAGGGGCGCTAGGAGAGAAGCTGCCGGTGCAACTACAAGGCGATGAGGGAAGCTGGTGAGTATGCGTTTTTGCAATGAGATCAAGTGAAGGATTTGGACGCAGTACGTGGACAGCCGAAAGCGGAGCGTCAACCTACTCGGGAAATGTTGACGAAGGAATGACGGATGTGGAAGAGATCGATGAAGGAATCAAGGTTGGATGTGGAAGAGATCGATGAAGGAATCAAGGTTTGGAAGTGGAGACAAGATTCGGGGGGAAGTGAAGAAAGGAACAATCAAGTTGACGGCAATTCAGCGCAATGGCACAACACATGACTCTACACTGTCGGATTATAAGTAGTATGCCCCCCCAAACCTGGGCGTATGTTTTATGTTTGTTTCAGTTTTTTGTCAAATATAATTGAAAAGCTCACAATTGTTTAGTCCGACCCGCGGCACCCAGCCAACAACTAACTTCGTCCAGCCACAATCACATCCAGACCACGCGTAACGGTGAGAAGAAAACGGATCCGGCGCAACCTAAAATGTTGAAGCATTAAACAAACTAGCTAGGTAGCTATGAAGTTCATTGCTCAAGGTCCTGAGCCAGCCAAGCGAGCGAGTAGGTGGGAGGGACATTGCTGAAGGCCCTTTTCAAGGAGCTCCAAATTATCACAAGCAGCAGCCTCCAAACAAAGCCATTCGAGTACTCCCCAACGGATATATTTTGCTGCGTTGTCAAAGAGATCTTCAAGCAAGAATGTGTCTCCTTCTTGTGCTTGGAAAAACTTGAGAGTGTCCAGGTCCCCCCTTTTCGCAGCTGCAACCTTGCCACTCAGAATAAGCTCCTCCAAAGTACCACGAGCAGTAGCCTCAAAACAAAGCCATTCGAGTACTCCCCTTGCTGAGGTGTCAAAGAGATCTTCATGCAAAAACGTGTCTCCTTCTTGTTCTTGGAAAAACTTGAGACAGTCTAGGTGCCCTTTTTTCGAAGCTGCAACCTTGCTACTCAGAACAAACTCTCCTTCGAGAGGACATCCATTTTCAACAGCCCATTTTAAAACATCCAAATGACCTCCTTCAGCCGCGTAAAAGCATGTCCATGCATCCCATGGACATCCCCTTCCCCTGGCGTATTTGAGGCACTCAAGCTGTCCAGTTTCAGCAGCAAAACTGCATGTATGACTGTCCCAGGGACAGCCATTTTCATGTGCATATTTGAGGCATTCCAAACTACCACCTGATGCAGCACACGAACATGTTGATCGGTGCCACCGACAGCCATTTTCA